TATTTCATATTGCATCGGGTACGTATTTTGTATTTCATATTGCATCGGGTACGTATTTTGTATTTCATATTGCATCGGGTACGTATTTTGTATTTCATATTGCATCGGGTACGTATTTTTTATTTCATATTGCATCGGGTACGTATTTTTTATTTCATATTGCATCGGGTACGTATTTTTTATTTCATATTGCATCGGGTACGTATTTTTTATTTCATATTGCATCGGGTACGTATTTTTTATTTCATATTGCATCGGGTACGTATTTTTTATTTCATATTGCATCGGGTACGTATTTTTTATTTCATATTGCATCGGGTACGTATTTTTTATTTCATATTGCATCGGGTACGTATTTTTTATTTCATATTGCATCGGGTACGTATTTTTTATTTCATATTGCATCGGGTACGTATTTTTTATTTCATATTGCATCGGGTACGTATTTTTTATATCATATTGCATCGGGTACGTATTTTTTATTTCATATTGCATCGGGTACATATTTTTTGTTTCATTTTGCATCGGGTACGTATTTAATACTTCCTGTTTATGTATAACTTGGACTTAGTTATAATAATAAATAATGTTACATGTTACATAATAATAAATAATATGTTACAACTTCCAGGCACGTGTTCGCGGCTATATTATCAAAAAAAAGTGTCTTGTGCTAACTACGTCAGCAACTACTTTCCGCATTTTATGCTCAACCCACCTATCACAGACAAGGAATTAGCCGCTACGTGTACTTAGGCCGCTACGAGTACTTAGGCCGCTACGAGTACTTAGACCGCTACGTGTACCTAGGCCACTACGTGCACTTAGGCCGCTACGTGTACTTAGGCCGATACGTGTACCAAAGCCGCTACGTGTACTTAGGCCGCTACGTGTACTTAGCTACCGTACTTAGGCCGCTACGTGTACCAAGGCCGCTACGTGCACTTAGGCCGCTACGTGCACTTAGGCCGCTACGTGTACCATGCAAGGCCGCTACGCGTATTTAGGCCGCTACGTGTACCAAGGCCGCTTCGTGTACTTAGGCCGCTACGTGTACTTAGGCCGCTACGTGTGCTTAGGCCGCTACGTGTTCTTAGGCTGCTACGTGTACTTAGGCCACTACGTGTTCTCAGAGGTGGGTAGTAGCGCGCTACATTTTCAGTAGCGGTAGCGGCGCTACATTTAAGGCCACCAGCATGATACATACATAATATAAATTACAGAATAAAACTGTACGAAAGATTTCGGTGTAATCTTGTCAACCTCAGCCTGTTACTAGTGTCAACATGTTAGTTGTTACTTGTTAAGTTGTTACCAGTTACCACTTACAGCCTTACAGGTATTTTTTCATGTTTCAGTTTGCTTAGTTATTTTTACACAGTTATTTTTATGTTTCACCTTCCCTACATGGATTTCTACTTTAATCTGCTAATCACAAAATAATCCACATATATATACAAATAAAAGATTGATTTTTTATATGCGTATGTGGATAATTTTTTAGATTGGTAGATTAAAGTACACATCCATGTAGGGAAGGTAAAACTTAAAAATAACTGTAACTTTTATTTACTGTGTCTAACCCGTACTAGTTCGGTTAGGTTAATTGCAATAAAGTTGCATTGGTATGTTTTGAAAATGTTTTATTATCATTAAATGTTTATGAGTAAATCCCAATAGCAGAACAATAAATATTTAGAAATTTCCAATAATTTTGGCCCTTGTAGCGGCTAATGTAGCGGCGCTACATTTTACTGTGACGGTAGCGGTAGCGCTCGCTACAATCTAGTGGGTGTAGCGGTAGCGGTAGCGCCGCTACAGTTAGAGCATGTAGAGGTAGCGGTAGCGCCGCTACATTTTAAAGTAGCGCTGCCCAGCTCTGCGTGTACTTAGGCCGCTACGTGTACCTAGGCCGCTACGTGTACTTAGGTCGCTACATGTACCTAGGCCGCTAAGTATACCAAGGCCGTTACGTGTACTTAGGCCGCTACGTGTACTTAGGCCGCTACGTGCACTTAGGCCACGACGTGTACATAGGCCACTACGTGTGCCAAGGCCGCTACGTGTACTTAGGCCACTACCTGTACTTAGGCTGCTATGTGTACTTAGGGGCTTAGGCCGTTACGTGTACCTAGGAAACTACGAGTACCTAGGCCGCTACTTGTACTTAGGCTGCCACGTGTAATTTGGCCGCTACATAAACTCATGCCACTACGTGTACTTAGGCCGCTACGTGTACTTTGGTCGCTACGTGTACCTAGGCCGCTACGTCTACTTAGGTGGCTACGTGTACCTATGAGGCTAGGCCGCTACTGGGTCTCCTGCTAAACATGCTGTTAACCAGTTGAACTAATGATTGCCGTCTTAGAAAGTGTGTTTCATCAAGAAATATTTTAAAACAGAGCAGAACAGTCGCAACTTGTTGCGGGTCTCGAACACGCAACTCACTGCTCCAATTTTTCATTGCTCAACCGCTCGGCCTCCTTGTCGATTTTGACCAGGAACTATTATTATTATTATTATTATTATTATTATTAAAAAATAGTTTAAAACAGAACAGAACATTCACAACTTGTTGCGGGTCTCGAACACGCAACTCACTGCTCCAATTTTTCATTGCTCAACCACTCGGCCTCCTTGTCGATTTTGACCAGGAACTGTCGCAGGTAGCTGAGATCGATCCCGCAACACATGGTCCAATCTTGGTACTCTGAACTTAATAACCTTTGGGCCACCCTGCCCAGTGGGTGGTAAATAATATAAATTATATTGAAATGAAACATACTATCCATATGCAGCCTATTCTATATAAGTATTCAAATATTTAGTTTTAAAGTTTAATATCGAATAATATTTTGCATACCTCAGATATATGAGACTGAATTCACCCAATTTTTTATAAAGTCGTGCGCATTCATGTTCTGAGTGATGTTTTATTAGCACCATTCATAACCCAAAAAACCCATGGTATTAGTTAGAAAAAGATTTGTGGTATATAAAGCAATATAGAATCGAATAGAAGTGTCGGCGTTGAAGACATAGGCCCATGGCCTGTTATATAGAAGAGAATTTTATCAAAATTCAAATTTATGTGAACAATGTTGAATGTACTCGTTTTATATCTGTTCATTAATATCGCGTATTAAAGAATCGCTCTGGTCTTCAACCAAACCTGTATAAATGAAGAACTTCTGCCTAACTACACTAATATTAAAGAATTGTATATGTTGACCGGTAGATAATGCAAACGTTATGTATAATCGTCCACCCAGTCAATTCAAGATTAAATATTTTCTGGAGCCTTCAGGCTAATGAATAATTAGTTTAAATCAAATTTTAAATAAATTTGTAGGACTTTAAAACTGAGGTAATTAAGCCCGGTCCAGACGCTCAGTTTTACACAACGATTTGTCTGCGCAGTTCTAATCGTTGCAGATAAAACGTTGCGTGTGGACGGGAAAACTGCGCAGTTTTGGAGCCGGCGGGAAAACTGCGCAGTTTTGGAGCCGGCGGGAAAACTGCGCAGTTCCATCGAAATCTGAGCTACCGAGCATAGATTTCGATGAACTGCGCAGACAAGTCGGACCGTGTGGACGGTAGCACAGTTTTCCGATTCGATTTGTGCTCAGTTTCAACGATTCTGGCGACCATGGCGGACCTTCGGTAATGTTCTCGGGAATTTATTACTTTTCTATACGAAAGTTTTTCTTGCATTTGGCGAGTAAAATTCAAGGACTATAGTAACAGGGACAAAAGAAAGTGGAGACATACGAGGGCTTAGTAGAAAAATTCAAAGAAACCGATGAAAGCGCAAACATAGAAACAGCTGTAAAATAAGTTGAGCATTTACCGTAAATAATTGGGAATGAATAAGAAAATCGATTCCATCTGGACCTGGAAAAGAAGACATCTACAGGCCATCTCTCTTGTATTTTGATTCCTCGCAATCCCTAAATGATTCAATCTCTTTTTTGACAAGGCACAATGCCAAAATTTATGAAAATACTGCCTTCTCCATGGCACGTTTCTGATAAATTTACGGCCGGACTCGCTGCCGGTCTCCCCAAATTCGATGGGCATGGAATATCTCCCAAAGTAATGAACGTAGCTCGATAAAACTTGGTACACGTATTCATTAGGACTTAACGGTGATGTTTAGCATGTGACATGTTNACTATTTGGTAGAGCCATGTCAACTGTCAAATTTGACACATTTTTCGATGATCTCACCACGTGGCATGCATTGTCTCTCTTTGGATCTCAATATTTTCCCGCTAGATGGCCAAGACCTAGTGTTTTTGCAGTATTTCGACATGCAAATGTATGACGTCACCATTTCAACCATCAATGAAAGCATGGAACTAAAACATAGCTTAATATAAAGGAAAAACTAGAGAAGTGATGGAATTACCTACGATGTTGGAATATACCGCGTTTACCCTACCTACAATGTACAGAGTTACTCATTCAGAAATCAGAGTTCTCCTTAGTCCTTGTTACCCATTAGTGAAGAATGAAGAGTCTCCTGATGAGGCTGATGTTAAGTTGTTAACACTGATATAATATTAAAAAAAATAATATACCTAGTTCAGGCAATTAAAATGAACTAGGTCTAAACAAAAATACATTTTTTTGCAAACCTTACTGATTTTTGTCACTTTTTTTAATGCTTCAGCACACATTTCATTTGCAATTTAGTAGGTACCTAAGTTTTTTTAAACAAAAACTGGAAAATCAGGCAAATGCCGCCTGGCTTGCAGTTAATTTGCCCACTTCTATGGCACTCCACACCAATTTATTTTATAAAAATGTAAAAAAATGGCACATTCTTGATTGCAATTTTCAAAAATTGTCTGTGAAATGATTGCATCTATCTAGGAATAGGATTAATTGATAATTTTACTGCTGGACTGTTGAATTTGATAGAAGATTTTTCACAGATAAGTTTGAACAAATTATATAATTATTAAAATCTTGCTAAAATCTAATGTTACACATTTTTAATACATTTGTAATTTTGTTCAATCATGCTTTGTTGTGAAGAATTAAATTGTATGAAGAGATATTTCAACTACTGGTAAATGTTAATGATGCACAAGTTTCATCTTGGCAGATACTGAACTTGCCTCAAAGCTCATCAGAAAGGTCTCAGAAAGAGAGTGAAATTGATGTATTAATAAATAATAATTTACCAGTTATCTCATGTAGTATACCCAACTTTCTTGTAGACCAGTTGACTTTATTATTATTGACTGTATTATTATTATTTTTGCCATTTGTTTTATAGGCTGTGGTTTATCAATGGCAAACATTCTGAATTTTTGTTGGACTAGAAATGATGTCAAACTTGAAGTCTTGAACATTTATTCTCCTTTAATATTAAAATTAGTTGACATAATTCATTCAGTAAGTAAAATCTCATTTGTTGTAAAGTTTTCAAAGCAATTGAAATGAGTCAAAAATTTATTTAAGTTACCAAACCCTGTCTTGTTGATACAAGAGAATTTCATTAATTCTTCAATGTAAAGTCAGGCTACCAGAATGATAGGAAAAATTATACTAACTTAATAAATAGTTTAATATATACAATAAAGCACTCCTAACATTATCATTTCTGTCTAAATTTTTTAGCTGTTGCTGTGTCCCTGGACTGCTTATTCCTTCTGAGCCTGTAAAGTTGGCAGTGATTTTGCTGCTGTTATTTAATTCTTAAGTTAGTTTATTTTAACCTAAATGCATAGCCAATATTTTATAATGTCTTGTTATAATCCTGGTGTCAGTAATACATATTTTCTTGAACTGAATTTTGGGACTTTCATCAAAATTTTGATTGCTGGCCATTATTTGGTGTACAAAACTTTAGTGTGACCTCCCTTTTCAGCGGAAGGAAAGATCTCATTACACGTAAGAAATAATATAGAGAAAACAAATTAATTCAGGTCAGGTGAACACACAAGTTTGAAATAAACGAGGATTGGCGCAAGCTGCTGCCCTGTGGAAGTCCTCTGAATACGGAGCAGGAGCTTCACTGGCTAGTGTAAACCAGCCAGGTAGCACAGAGAAACTGACACGCTAAGCTCCGTGCAGCCCATTCTATCAAAATAAATGCAACAAAAGACAAAATAGGAAATTAGAACACGCTGAATATTAGGGTCCCCAATATTTTCAAATGATTAAATTTATGAACCTAGCAGCTAAGCTCTTAAAATATTTGGTCATCTTAAAATGTGAGATTTATAGAACAAAATTGCTTAATATATTAGGAAGATTTTGAAATATTTTTTGGGTAGCTTAACCATTAAATAACAATGTATCACTTATAGCTCATTTAAACAGCAATTAAATAGAGTGGTTTAGCTTGGAAACATTCGTAGATTAAAATTAGTAGCTCTGGCAACTGTGTGTCTGTAGCATGTGTAACTCTGTGTGTCTGTAGCTCTGGTAACTCTGTGCGTCTGTAGCTCTGGTAACTGTGCGTCTGTAGCTCTGGTAACTGTCTGTAGCTCTGGTAACTCTGTAATCTGTAGCTCTGGTAACTCTGTGTGTCTAGCTCTGGTAACTCTGTGGCCAGGTTCTCAGCCAGCCAAAGTGACGTTGCCGTGTTTGAAGCCCTGGGCTCAGCCCCAGCAGCAAGTTTCCACCACGCCCTGCGCTGGTACAACCAAATTGCCTCCTACGGGAGTGACAAAACTGCCCTGCCGGGGGTAAAGCCTACACTGGAGGCTGCACCTGCTAATGATGATGATGATGATGTGGATCTCTTTGGCTCCGATGATGAGGAGGTTAGTCACCGATGAGTCTTCACTTATCTTCTTCCTGAACAATCGTGGCAATCTAAGCCAGCATTTTCAATTATAAATTTTAATGCACTTTTACAAATAAGTTTTTTTGTATGATCTCAAGACTTTATATGTGGATATATTGTGAGCATCATTTCACAATTCTTCAATGGAATGTTGTCTTTATTAAAAAAAAAATTGAGAAAATTCTGCAGTCTTAAATAAATGTCTAAGGTAATAGAGCAGTGGTTGCCAAAATGTGAATTACTGGTATATTACCTGATTTTTTATGCATATACTTTTGTGAAGTAAAGGAAGTGTAAAATGGTATTAAATTACTTAATGTAGCAATGTATTATTAGATTTCAGAGACCAGCTCCATCGTCAGTTTGATAAATCTAAAACACAAATACAGTCAGAAAATTAATAAAGTTTGTAGTCAAAAGAAAAAAAAAACAACAGAAGTTAAAACCTAGATTTACAGGAAAAGGGCAGAATAATAAAGAAATACCTATCTATTCACAATTTCTAATGGATAAGAACTGTAGGCAGCATTTAAACTAGGCTTCTCCTTAAAAATCTACTATGATTCCAAAATGCGCAGATCGGAAGCACCAGAACTATAAGATAAAACCTTACAGTCAGTGTTGGACACCGGAATGTTGCACTGCTCAGCGCGAGTGCACACAGCCGAATGAGGAGAGCGCGATAGTAACTGCCAGTCTTATAACTCCTCCCTTTATGCCCAGCGACCCTAGTGTAAAGGTTGCATGCCGTCATCCCAACCTACGCAGATGCACATCATGCACAATTAAATTTATAAACTAGGGATGATTGCATGTGAGAAGGGAGGATATCTTTGTACCTGAAAAAGGAACCTATTTTGAAATTATTCACCAGTAAGATATGAAGAATTATGTCCGGAAAGTACTTCATAAACAAAAGTTTTAATTCTCTTGACATAACTTTGGACACATGGCCTAAGTATGGAAGAGAACAGTAAACCATTTTTCTACTATCAGGCTCTGGAACAACTTCACAGTATTGCTTAGACTTGAATTTCTTAATCTGACAAAACACCATGCCAGAAGGCAGGGTTGGCAATGATTGAATCAAAATGATTAAATCATGTGATTAAATCACTTGATTTTTTTATAAAAATCATGATTTTTTTTATTTTTTCATATATTTAAATGTATTGAGTGGCAGTCTTTAATTTATATTGAGGTATTGTTATTCATGGTTTAGTATAAATGTACTATGAATGACAGATTGGTATATAAACTTGTTGCCTTTAGTGTGTATTAGGTTCCAATAAATTGAATGTTTTTGGTACAGAGGCATCAAGTGTTGCAATACATTGTACGTAGCTAGCAGCTTAGCTAATTCTTAAGCCCCCATCTTCCAGATATTGTTTTCAAAACATAAGTATTTTAAATGATATGTTTTGCTAACCTCTAGGAAAATAAACTTTCTTCTTTATGTACCTCATTACTCTTTTATTTTACCTCAAAACTGCTAAATTGGTTCTGCCCCACCCTGTATATTGTGAGGTTGAGATTATATTGACCTTTCAGGCAATTAGAAAGATTTTCCACCTTAATACGAGTATTCTAATTAAAATATTTAATTTCAATCTTCAAATATGTGAATTTAAAACTAGAAACAAAACAATTACAATTATAAGACTATATATAAAATGATTAAATGCAATGAATGGATATAAAATATTTGAATTGTGCACATGTTCATTTCAAACAGTGTTAGCTTTTCTCATAACTTAAGTCTTGTTTCAAGTCGTATGAGGTTTGTTTGGTTATCGTTCAGTTTATGTTTAGTATTGGTTTATTGGTCTGAATTAAATGGGTACAGTGCAGTCAGTCACTCGGTCACTACTAATCGGTGTGTATAGAGGGCATAGTCTGGTAGATTTATAGGACATAAAACTAGTAGATCTATTGATAGTGCTGTGCACTGTGCTATCAGCTACCTATCTGTTATGTGACTCTTTAATGTTTAGAAGATACGCATTCCTGAAGTGTTCTTGCATATTGAGGCCAGTTAAATGATCAATATTTAGCTCATTACCTTGCTCCATATAATATTTACAAAGCTAATGAATAGACTTATCAATAATTGTTTACAAAAAAATCCCTAAGTGGTAAACACCACCTTGGCCTGTTGGCCATTATTGAAGGCAATAAGTGCCCTTTTTAGCCATTTATTATGATCCATATACTGTTATTGTTAGAAGGCTAATTGCAACATAAAAAATGACACTTTAAAAAGACAAAAAAGCTGAAAAAAAAAATAAAAAAAATCAAATAAATAAAAAAAATCATGAAAAAAAATAAAAAAAAGATGTGATTTTTGATTTTTTTATTTTTTTAAAAAAAAATCAAAAAAATCGCAAACCCTGCCAGAAGGAAATCCATTAGGCAAGAAGACATTGCTCAAAAATTCAAATTCAGAATGCATGGAATAGAAAGTCTAGCATATACAAAAGCTGTGGTGTAATAGTATTTGAAGCCCATTTAACTTGAATCTAAAAGAACAAAAACTAAAAAAGCTAGTGCTTAGGCTGGTGAAAGTTGATTTTCTGAAAACAGATGTTTGAAAATGGCCATTAGATTTAGTAATATTGCAGTCTAGAAAGGACAAACTATTGTTCAATTCAAGTTCCATGGTAAATTAAATAGAATTATGTTGCAAGTTTAGGTAATCAAAGAAAAGCATTACATGAGACTGATGCTTAGAAATAAGAAAGGTTCATTGACATATCTGTTGTAAAAAATTGGTTTAAAATCAGGAGGACAATTGGTCAGCCATGAAACCTCGTGAAAACATAAAAATATTCACAAAGGTTGGTCCAAGGGGAAGACCCATGCCCAAACTGTCAATCTGTCTGTAAAATTTACCAGAAAATATAAAAATCTAATTTAGAGCTGATAATTCCAGGAGGGATTTAAAAAGTCAGTTCAAACCAATAACAGTATCATGAATAGCTTTAAACAAAGTATAAAGACAGATCTCAATAGTTTCAAAAAGCGGTATATTTGTAAATAAATTTTCCACGTCAAAAGAGGCCATTGTTAAGTCCTGAACATCAGTAAAATCTTTCAAGCGGTCAACAAAAGTATAAGAATTGTCTACTGTATACTGGTTAGTTGTAAGACAGTTTAGGACCAGAACTAAAAACTTAGCCAGTTTGAAACCAGGGGTATTATATGCAGCAAAAATTGGTTGGAATTGAAACTTTAAGGCAAAATCAGACTTATGAACTTTAGGTAAGCCATATAAAATCCCAGGGCATGAACCGGAGGCATAAAGTTTAGAATAAGTTTCAGAAGAAAAGGCAGACAAATCCTTCAGTTTTCGCAGAAAGCTATTGATTTTGACTTCGATTTTCAAAATAGTTTTAGAGATGGGATCAGTATCAGCAATCCATCACGGCCTGGGACTGCTATGTCCCAAACAAGTACCAAGATACCAAGTATTTTAGACAAATTTAGAAGGATCGGTGATGAGTGCCATAAGGCTACTGTTATATTGACTACAATCAACCAAAACAATGCCTCTGCCCTGTCAGGTTCACAAATGATCAAGTCTTTATTTTTGGCTAAGTTAATAAATGTGTGTCACAGCTGAAATACAGAAGAAAAAATTTATATGACTTCAAGCCGTAAAAATGACGGTAGGCTAAGCTCTACAATTTCCCAAGAAACTCGGGGCGGTTAGGAGTAGAAACATTCTTTATGCTAAGATCTAGTCTTTTGAAGACTAAAAAAATGTATAAAAGTCCAACCTAACAATTGGCATACAAAAATCAAGGCCAAAAGCCAGCAAGAATTTGATACAGGGTTCCAAGTTGAAAGAACTATGATTGAAAACCACCTTATCTGGGGCAATAGGACGAATTTCGTTGTCGATGCCAAGGTTACTGTGTTTCCTTTGATGTATTTGACTGGTAACTTTCCTGCATGCTTCTGTAGACCGTCTTGCATGTTGGTGGATAGCAAAGGCGTCAAGGGTGGAAGACAAACGAGCAAGTTGCACTTCACTTTCGGCAGCCAAATCGGTTAAAGATTTCAGAGTCTTCCTTTTTGAGGATAATTCCTTGGAGAGGAGCTTGTTCTGCAACGATTTATAAAAATTTGAATTATGAAGGCACCGTTTGTAAAAACTTAAATCTCAGGAACTTGTGGAAAACACCCTAAATCTTACACTTTACCAGGTAATCAATGTCTAACAAAGTCTTTGCTGTCTTTCGTAGAAGATCACAGTATTTTCTGAAGTGGCAACCATCTTTGCCGTATTTTGATTGAACACAAGTAATAATGTCAGTAGATTGCTTGAATCGCAGATTCACTAGAAATTTAAAAGCAAAGAAAACTCCACAAAAATTCAGCATTTCTCTATTGAAAATGTTTCGGAGACTAGCTCCATTGTCAGATTGATAAATCTAGAACACAAATACAGTCAGAAAATTAATAAAGTTTGGGATAAAGAAAAAAAACAACAGAAGTTAAAACCTTAATTTTCAGGAAAAGAGCAGAATAATAAAGAAATACCTATCTATTCACAATTTCTAATGGATAAGAACTGTAGGCAGCATTTGAACTAGGCTTCTCTTTAAAAATATACAATGATTCCAAAATGCGCAGATCTGAATCATCAGAACAATAAGCTAATACCTTAAAGTCAGTGTCGGACACTGGAATGTTGCACTGTTTGGTGTGAGTGTGCACAGCCGATTGAGGAGGGCGCGATAGTAACTGTCCAGTCCTATAACTCTTCCCTTTATGCTCAGCGACCCTAGTGTAAAGGTTGCATGCCGTCATCCCAAAGTCAAAGTGCTGTCGCTCAAGTCGTAATATTTTGTTGATGTTGCTCAAGTCAATTAATATTTTGTTCATATTGCTCAAGTCATATGATATTTTGTTCATATTGCTCATGTCATATAACATTTGAATAATTTCAGGACACAGAGACTGCTCGGGTCAGAGAAGAGAGGCTGGCGGCCTACGCTGAGAAGAAGAGCAAGAAGCCTGGCCCCATCGCCAAGTCCCAAATCCTGCTGGACGTGAAGCCCTGGGACTGGCCCCATCGCCAAGTCCCAAATCCTGCTGGACGTGAAGCCCTGGGACTGGCCCCATCGCCAAGTCCCAAATCCTGCTGGACGTGAAGCCCTGGGACGATGAGACCGACATGAAGGAACTCGAGAAATGCGTCCGCAGCATCCAGCTGGACGGGCCGGTGTGGGGCGCAAGTGAGTGGTGTGGTTTCGGGTGGTGTGTGGTAATACCATAATATAATACATAATAACAGCCCACGTAATAATATAACATTTAATAACATCCCATATAATGTATAATAAGAGGCAACATAATAATATATAAGAAGGAAGTAATATAATAGTTTTGTTGTGCAGGTGAGCTCAAGCCCCTGGCGTACGGCATCAACAAGCTGTCCATCCTGAGCACAGTTGTTGACGACAAGATCTCCGTTGACGACCTCACCGAGAAAATACAAGAATTTCAGGATTATGTCCAGAGTGTTGATATTGCCGCCTTTAATAAGGTCTAGGGNGGGTCTGATGAGGTCTAGGGTCTGATGAGGTCTGGGGTCTGATGAGGTCTACAGGGTCTGATGAGGTCTATAGAGTCTGATGAAGTCTATAGGGTCTGATGAGGTCTATAGGGTCTGATGAGGTCTAGCGTCTGATGAGGTCTGGGATCTGATGAGGTCTAGGGTCTGATAAGGTCTAGAGTCTGATGAGGTCTGGGGTATGATGAGGTCTAGGGTCTGATGAGGTCTAGGGGCTGATGAGGTCTAGGGTCTGATGAGGTCTAGGGTCTGATGAGGCATAGGGTCTGATGAGGTCAAGGGTCTGATGAGGTCTAGGGTCTGGTGATGGGATCTAGGGTCTGATGAGATCTAGGTTCTGATGCGGTCTAGGGTCTGAGGAGGTCTATGGTCTGATGAGGTCTAGGGTCTGATGAGGTCTAGGATCTGATAAGGTCTAGGGTTTGATAAGGTCTAGGGTCTGATGAGGTCTAGGGTCTGATGAGGTCTAGGGTCTGATAAGGTCTAGGGTCTGATAAGGTCTAGGGTCTGGGGTCTGATGAGGTCTAGGTTCTGATGCGGTCTAGGGTCTGATGAGGTCTAGGGTCTGATGAGGTCTAGGGTCGGATGAGGTCTAGGTTCTGATGCGATCTAGGGTCTGATGAGGTCTAGGGTCTGATGAGGTCTAGGGTCTGATAACTGGGCGCTTTAATGTTCATTTGCAAGTGAGTCATTGAGAAAATTGCGAGTCATTAACCACTCATGCTTGGCTTCAGAATAAGTCCTCGTGTAACTAAATCTGATGAGTTCGAAACTGTAAAGAATATTTATCTAGAAAAGTCGCTTCGCTGAAGACCTTTACCGAAAAAAATATTAAAATATATTAATTTGTACGCAGGTTCCTGCATTGATTATTGCACATACATTATGTATGTGCTCATTTGTGATGAGGGCCAATAAATCTTCTTACCAGCGATGATGGCGGTTAATGTTATCCGGCTGGTGCTGAATAGCTGAGTCTTAGCTCCAAGTACCCGCATGCTCAGTCATAGCAAAATGCCCACCTGCAATTAAAGTTGTATACATTTTATTCTTCGTATAGTAAAGCTCCTTCCTTTAATTCATAAGTGAAGTTATATTGTAAAATCGCGCTGCTGTTGCTATTCGAAGGTATATGAGTGTGGTTAGTGAGCGACACAATGGTTCTAAAAATTATTAAGATTTGGTCACCGTTAACGATTCGCATATAACAATGATGGAAAAATTAATACCTCATTCCCGGTCACCATAAGCTGAAACTTACTGTATTTTTCTCTGGATAAATTTATTAATAATTCTGTCATTAGCTTGCTGGCATCGCAGCACATCCGACTGATGGTTGCATATATCATGCGGTCGTGACAAGAAAATAATTACATATTACAGAGAAAAAATTGTTTTGTGTTCAGCAATTTTCTGCACTGAAACACACAAATACATGATGTATGTGCTCGTTGTGATAAAGGTTAATGAATATACTTACTGTCGACAATGGCGGGTGGGGTTTGGCTGCTGTTGTGGAATAGCTTAGTCATAGCTGAGAAACGCACGTGCTCAGTCATGGTGGACCGGTCTGCACGTGATTCTCACCTTCATATTAACGTATTACAATTATTAGTTGTCCTTGAGAAAATTTTAATAATTTTGGAGCCGGAAGCATCTTCCTATGGAAGGATAGGTGCGGCTTAATGTACGTAGAAATTATGTCATAAAATTATTTGTATCCCGATGGCCCTAAATTATGTTCAATAGAACTATTTAGGTAGGACAATATATCAAAATGACAAAGTCTATTTTTGTGATTGTTAAAAGACAAAATCTTGTCATAATGTACGATGGTATTTCACGGAGATGTCCAAGTTGCTCTCCCTGCATAAAATGTGACGTGCTTGCTAAGTTTTCTCAGAGTCACAGTAACTATCTGCATTGTCTATGTAGTAAAATAAGGAAGACTTGGCAATGCAGGCTATATTCGAACAAATGACCAGTTATCTGGAATAAGCGTAACAGATATCATATACTAATTAACAAATTACAACGCAAATATTATCGACAACAGAAACAATAATAAAACTGATTTATAATCAGTAATGTACGTGGCAGGGAACTTACATTACATAACATGATAACGGCAAATCGGCAATGGTTAGAAGTTCAGAACCTTTCAGCTCGTCGATACTCGATACTCGATAGCAACCATGTTTCGTGCTAATGAAACAATCCAAAGAATATATGCAATCTCTAATGCCAATGACATCATTACGACTTTAAAAAAAAAACTTCTGTTACTCGTTCTGCGTTCATATGTTGCCTTTTACACGGAATTGTGGAATTATTTTGAGCCACCGAGCTCGGTGAAACGAAAAGAAGTAGTTTCTCCTCAAATATCTTCTATGGTATTTCTAAGAAAACGGAAATTCAAGTTGCACTAACGTATTATAGACGCAGGGTGTACGTGTACGAATGTCAATCGTAATAGTTTGGCATATTAATCGAAATATTTATTCATACGCAACTCGGCATCAATTCTTAGAAACTAAAAAAATTCGTAAGATATCGATTCTAGATTCGAAAAGATGGCTAGCCGACACTGGGTGGGCAGGGTAGCCCTTGCAGTGTTCAGAGTAGAAGGATTAGAACAGTGAACTTAAATTCATTGCAATCCGATTGTTAACTATATAAGATATCAAATTTATTATTCTCCCCCTAAGGTGAATTGCTCCAAAATTGAAAAACTCCGAAATTTTTAACAGCAAAGCCATGCTGTATATTGAATTCATGAATAACTCTGCGTTCACGTAAAGAGTTTTTATTAAAACTTCCTAAGTGGTCAGTATACTCGAATTTATTGATTTTCCTGCCATAGGCTAAATATGTTTTTGCTCTTTTCCGTTGAATGTCTTCTGTATTTGCATCCCTATATTCCTTCATATTTCAATATTTTTATTACTGCCTACCTCTATATCTGCACCTAGAGATATTCTTTCAAGCGTAGCGTGAACGCGGAGAGGCTGGTCATCGCCACTTATGCGGCGCTGTTGCCAGACGCTCGAGAAGTGGCCTTTGCGCCCAACCGCTCGCTCGCTGCTTGCTTGGCCCGTCTAGTCTCTCTCTCTCACTCAGTAAGTCAGTCATTCAGTCAGTCAGTCAGCGTCAGTCATTCAGCGTCAATCAAGTCATTTAGTGTCAGTCAGTCAGTCAATATCAGTCAGTAGAAAAACCAGCAGATGGTCAACACAATCAATATAATAAATTTCACAATAATCCTGCCGTTGAATAAAATATTATTATTAATCGGCATGATTAATAATAAGTAATTAACACATTAATAATGAATAGAAAGAAGTCTTCATGAGTCTATAATATGTTTCAGCAATAAAACAAAGAAAGTTTTTGAGACGTTCGAAAAAACGTTAAAATCTAAAAAAATTGTATTGAGTCGAAATTTAAGCTATAAAATACTAGATATATGTGGTATATATACATACATATTATAGTATAGTATAAATATACTATACATAGTATAAATATATTATACTATACATATACTTATATAATTATATACACATAAACACTGAATTCCTAGGAAATCGCATATATAATTCCATTAAAAAATGCATATAAACAAACGTCAAAGGATGTGAGTGCTTCGCACCCCGAAGTCCTGTGATCTATTCAAAGAAAAAATAAGGACTTTTATCATAAGATTTCATTGATCATTTAAAGACGCCGTGGATGCGCGGGTTTGAATCGATCCCTAAAAACAATAGTACTCTATCTACTGTTAACCTATCTACCATTACCCTATCTACCCCCTATCTTCATGTACCCTATTTATTCTCTACTGGCAGTCTACTGGCTGTCTACTGGCAGTCTACTGCAAGTCTACTTTCTTATTTTCTACCGTAAAACAATTTTCCAGCCTCCACATTTTTTCTATCTTTATGATGAACGTCGACCTGATCGTTGCTCTGCGTGCGCGCTTCGTGATCTTCGTGATCATAACTCCTGTTTTAAAGTTTATTAGTGAATGTATGTTGAGTTGTTGACTTTATTAATAAATGTGTGGTGAAAGTTTATTAATGAATGTAGGTTAACGGTCTTCACAAATTCCATTAATCCCGTGTATGTCATGTTAGAGGCTGTTCCACATGTCGGTGATTCGAAGCGAGAAGAAATTTTGTATTAAAATACAGGTTAGCCTTTCTTTGCCTGGGATTGAAAAACACTGAATAATGTCTCCTCTTTCCCCTAATTGAGTCAATAATTTTCAATCAAAATCAATAGACGTTGTGTAGTTCGTCATTGTTATATACGTATATTAAATTAATTGTATGGTGCGTCAATTCTACACCACTACTACTACACACAAGACACAACTGTAGAAGTACTGTACTGTGACACTGTGTGAATTTTCAAAAACCATTTCTAGTTTTGCTGCGTTGGTTTTCAACAGTTTTTCTTTGTTTTGCTGCTGAAAAACAAAGAAACTAATTCAAAATCTACACTAGTAAAGTTTGTGAAATTGAACGTCGTGCCGTCAGTGAAGTCTGCGAGACCTCTAGTTTTAACTTAGTTAGTGCTGTATCATTGACATTTTCTAAATCGAAATTTTTTCTCGTAGAAAACTTTAGTTTTTAGACATACTGTAATATTTTCTCATTCCGACCGTGTGTTACGTGAGACGGTGAGCGTAGCTGCGTATGTGGTGCCCAATCTTTGCTGTGTTCTCCCAAACAATTCATTTGCTTCTCTTGCGTGCATCGGCTGTGAAAAATTAAGAGGTCGTTCAGTTCAGTCATTTCAGATTTGTATTTATATATATAGGTCCAAACACCGAATTAAAATAATTTATATATGTATCAAAATTGAAAATAATTCGGCACAAATGCTGCATGAATTTCTAGGAGTCACTCATAAATTAACTCAGTAAATTAAAGCATAATTTAACCCTATATAATTATACTACTGAATGGAAGTTAAAGTAGAGGCTCAGGGAAGTTCCAGTG